CCGTTAATGCCAAAATTTTGAGAAGGGTATTTTTGCATATTACACTAGCAGACTAATCAAACCTTCATGCGGTATGAGTACTTATACAAGTATACACCCACAAACCATTTAGACTTCTAGACCCAATAACTGTGGAAAGTATAACCAACCCAATCAAACTTTATTTTCGACATTAGTCACCATCTTTCCTCCACTTATTTTACCGTTTAAAAGGTAATCGTTTGGACACTAAGGTGATCAAACATGTTCACGCAGTGTCGGGACTGGATTGCATCCGACAATGCTTGCTTCAAGATAAATCATGCAGATCTGCTAACTTCAGAAAAACGTGTGGAGGGAAAGAAAATTGTGAGTTACTACAAACTGTTGATTCAGAAGAACCGCCATGCAATTTAAAGAAAGATGAAAATTTTGATTACTACATACTACTTGAGCCCGAAAGAGTAAGTATGTACGAGGATATTATCTTTTGGGCAACTTTAATAATAACAAGACGCTCTACGGAGCGTTAACTCGCTGGGGCTATATAAATACGCACATTACTATACATGATCACACATGATACATACAGTACACAGCTATTTCAATTAAGATTTAAGGTTTTCCCCAAGCTAAGCGAAAAATTCGAATACGTGCGCGAAAAGCTTAGGGGCCGATTACATGGCGCATTTTAAACCTCGGGGTTGAACTCAGCCCTGTTTACCGGGTTGAAATTTCAGCCCAGTCTGTAATACAAAACTCTATCAAAATCAAACGCGCGATTACATGACAACATTTTCAACCCAAGGCTGAGTTCAACCCCGGGGTTGAACTCAGCCCTGGGTTGAAAATTTTGTCATGTAATCGTTTCAACCCAGGGCTGAAATTATCATGAGTTATTCGAGCATACGTGGTAGTGACTATTTATTACATGAAAACAAAATAAAGGCTTTTTTACTTCCGGGAATCGATGCCGAGTACGCATAGTATAGCGTTTCAACCCCGGAGTTGAAATCGTCCATGTAATCGCAAATAATTTCAACCCGGTTAACAGGGCTGAGTTCAACCCCGGGGTTGAAAGTTCTCCATGTAATCGGCCCCTTAACACAGTACTAAAATGCGGTAGGCCCTACCCCTACAAGTACTGTTATATTTAGTACGCTACATCCTCTTTCAAGACTGTCAGTCGCCAGTTGGTCCGTACACTAGGATTAAACTGCGCTTTAAAACGCTCAAAATAAACCTTTTTGAGCTTTTGGGCTCAAAATACTATCAAAATGAAGAGAGAAGTGAGACGAATCCACTGGTGTACGGCCGAAAGAAGAGAAAACCAATGACACCAAAGTTATTAAGGATCAAACGTACTGCATTTTTTTATAATTAGTTTAATAATTTTGAGCGGTTTGTGAACAATACAATTTCGCTTGATTTTCAAAGGCCATAAATCGCTAGAATACTGCTGTTTAGTAATACATTTGACATCCGTGATTACAATTTCTTACGCTGAATCGAACGGTGGTATTTTTATCCTTATTGCGCCATTAGGCATTACAAAAACGTAGTGCGACTGTGCGAGTAATTTGTCAACAAATATAGTACGTACTTGCGAGCGATTTGTCAACAATACAATTTCGCTTGATTTTTAAAGGCCATAAATCGCTAGAATATATTGGTGTTTAGTGATACACTTGATATCTGCAAGAACAGTTTCTTATGCTGAATCGAACGGTGTCGCTTTCTTCTCAAAATATAAAGCAGCGCAGCCAAACGTATAAACTCGATAAACTTGCGATTTGCGAAAGTTGCTGTTTCCATGTCGAAATTCCTTGTAAAATTGTTGAATTTTCCCGAATTTTCCTCAAAATGCAGGGTGATTTATGGATAATTTGGGTCAAATTGGCAGGAGCCTTATGGATAATTGGGGGAGGGGGGGTGAATTAAGCAGCTCATTAATATTCTATTTTGTGACTATCCACGATCCGTGATCCGTGACAAATGCATGCCGAAACCTATACTCGCTTGGACACAGGTGCCCCAGCAAGTAACTAGATTTTCAAACAGCCCTGAAACTGAATTTTTCACCACTTTTGCAAGTTTAAATATATGTGCCTCATTCAAAGGGAAATCAAATACTGGCTACTTATTTGAATACGCTGAATAACTACCAGAGTGCGCATACAAAAAGTGGTTTGTAAATATTTTTGTCTTAGTGGTTGGCAGCTCCTGTGCGGCACGTTGTTGCAAATACACCCTATACTCTGCATGCATGGACACCTCGTTTTCTTACGTTTGGTCTTTTCAAGTTTCTTTCCACAATTTTTGTTTTTCTCATCGTCTCCCACTTGTTGATCGTCCTTCCACGCAAAACTGTCTCACACTGACGTGATTTGTCTGCACTTCGTCTCTGCTGTACAACTGACGCTTACATGAACCATCACATTAATTAATCTCGAATATTGCAACAACACATGCTTCAGCTCTCTAATGCCCAAATCATTTCTCTAATATCGAAATCACTTCCAATCATTACCACCACAGGTCGCGGGTTCGATTCCCACCGCGGTCAAGCAAATTTGCCGCTTGCCCAGTTTGAACATACTCTGAAAAATATCGCAATCATATATGTTCACCTGAGCGCACAACACCTGAAACAACGAATTCAAGATCATGAAAACATACTGATATTGAAGGAATTAGATTAGTCCCGAAATATCTCGAACCGACTTGACCCTGTAGCTCAGTTGCTAGAGCATTACTGGACTAGAGAACCAAAGGTCGGGGTTCGATTCCCACCGCGGTCAAGCAAACTTTTCGCTTGCCCGGTGTGGACACACTCAGAGAAACACCGCAATCATATATCATCACCTGAGTACACAACACCAGAAACACGAATTTTAATTACGTTTGTTTTGTTTATATTTATTTCTAGAAACGTAAAGATGCTGTTGCATCAATCACTCCTCAAATAAAACAAAAAATATCATCAAGTAAGGACTGATTAAGAAATATATGGTAATGTATCCAACATGGAAACGACCAATTTAACAAATCGAAATTGATGCAAGTGAAAATGAAGATGTGGATTAGCGCTTCTAATCGTTATCGACTTGAATGTTCCTTTCATTAATTAAAACCTCCTCATTTACGCATGTATATATTATAATAATATATATAATCTACATTTAAACAACTTCGAATTAAGTATATTTTGGCTTAAAGAAAATGTCGGTCCAACAAGGCGACAAGTAAATTCGAATTGGATAAATTTTCAAAATGTCAGGCATTGAAATCAGTATTTTTTGTTCAGTAGAAAAATCTACACCAAGGCGAGATTCTATTTTGAATAACACTCCAGACCGAACGTCTGCTGAATGGAGTTAATTTTGTAAATGGAAATTTCCATTGTAAATTCTATACATCTTTTTAGACTTAACCAGGAGCAGGTGAGAAAAATGCAACTATAGAACCTCTGGCAGAAATCAAACCTGTGATTCCGGTGCAGCGCTCTAACCAACTGAGCTACAGAGAGGCAGTTGTCAAGCTCTAACCAACTGAGCTACAGAGAGACAGTTGTTGAGCTCTAACCCTATATAGAAAGGAAGAGGTTATTTCGCTGGCCTCAAAGTGACAAAACGTAACAATGCAATGGTTTTACTAACACTAACCCTATTCCAAACACCAACTCTAACCATAATCCTAACCCCAACCCTATCCCTAACCTAACCCTACTCCAAGTTTGTTTCTAAACCAATCTTGAAGAAAAAAGTTTTGACGAAATGTCATTCTGAGGTCAGCGAATTAGTATTTTCCATATAGAAATCCCATGCGACTGATGAGTTTTGGTCCCAATGGAGCAACAATTTTGGCTTTGTTGACATTGTATCGGATAGCTTGTGTATAGCGACGCATGCAAAAACCATATTAATTTCTACATTTGGGTGCGTGTTGTGGCAGATTGGTTCTTGCAACGCTCTCCTTATAATGTAAATACCAATCGGAGCAATTTTGTGTTCAATTCGTGATTCAAGATGGCGTTTAGCAAACGAAAACGTGCTATTCTCACCTTATTTACGGGTATAGCCATGCTCACTCTTTTAAATGACGTCAGCAATATTTTTGTAAACATATACAAGAAAAGACGAAGGTGTAGAAGGGCAATCGCGGAAGCTGTTTACACTTGGGCGTAACGTTTCGCAAACGGAAGCAAAAACCGATACAATGTAAACATAGTTTTTATTAATTGTACTATTTTTCAGTACGAATTTTGAGAAGAACTTCCTTAAACTTTTCAGGTGTTCACCAACCATTGTCATCTTGTCAGGAGCTATTGAAGAGCAACAGGCATGTAAACACCTCGCAACTTCAGTGCCCTGTGTGATATTCGGATTCTATATCTATTTCTGATGATATGACCAGTGTCTTTCGAAGTAAATTGTTATTGGGGGAAGGCGGGCTCAACCAAGAGGGGTTTGGGGGCATGCTCCCCGACAACAATTTTGCGTTTCCGAAGCCTCGGAAAAGCATTTTCCGTGTTTTCTGAGAGGAAATTTTTGCAAATTGTGAATTTCTTGCTTTTCAAAATTCAAGACTTTGTATAACCTTTGCAACTTCATCTCCTTCTTTTCAAACAATGTTTGCTCTGTACCAATCATAGGTGTGAATGAATTGGTTTTGTTCCTATTGATATTTTCACGATATCAATTTGTAACTTTGAACAAAATTGTTTTGGGAAATAGCTCCAAGTACACTTTCCGATCGGGGGGGGGGGGACAACAATTGTTCACTTATTGACCAGCGGGATACATTGCATTTATATAAAGCCACGCGACCACAAATCAGCCAAACACGTTTCGTGTTCACCCGAGCTATATAACAAAAACGTTTCATTATGTAGATCATTAACCAGTGGTACTTATACACTACAAAATAATGTTACACTGGAGCAATATGAAGTTTACTGCCACATGGTAGAAATATCTGGATGCGGAAAGGGAGGCTGGACACTAGTGATGAAAGTGGATGGCAACAAGGTAAACAAAATCCTGGTTCAAAATGCAGAAAAAGACTGATAGGAGTAAAAATTTAGCGTAATTTGTTTCATGCATCGAATTTTAAAGTTCAAACACTGGGGGGCAGTATATCTGGTTAAATCCAACTTCGTGGTTGAGGAATTAAAATTATTGACACATTGCGTAGTATTTAAAACACGAGATAGAGTGTTTTATCATATTTAAACGCGAGGGGCGCAGTCGAGCGTTTTAGATATGATAAAACGCGAGTTCGAGTGTTTTGAATAGCTACGACTACAAAAGCTACAGCTAAAATACGACTACAAAAGAATACTAATTAGTTATATAATTCAATTCACTTTCAAAAAGGAGTTTTCAAGTGGTTTACTTTATTTTTAACAACGTTTCGTTCCGGTTATTACAACTTTGTAAACATTTACAAGGTGGGGGGGGGGGGGGGGGGGGGGG